AAACCCTATACAGGGTCACTATGGCTTGGAACCTACTCAAAGGCACTTAACAACAACAACAACAACATAGTTCAGATATAATTTGTCTCAGGCTGCTGTAAAAATATTTTCTTTGTCTTTAGTTTGACTGTGATGTAACTTAGCATATATTTCTTACAGTTTATCTTATCTTGAGTTCACTTAGCATCTTGAATCTGTATCATTATGTTATGCCTTCTGTCAAATTTGGGCAATTTTCTGTCTTATTTCCTTGTGTACTGATGATACAAACATTAGATATTGTTATCCTACAAATCACTGAGGCTTAGTTTTCTTATATTTTGTTGTTTTTGTATAGATTGAGTAACTTCTATTGATTTATCTTGAAGTTCATTGATTCTTTCCTCTATTTTTTGCTGTTGAGTGCATTGAGTTCTTTAAATGACTTGTCAGTTTTACAATTCGTTTGAATGTTCTTTATATCTGCTATTTCCTTTCTGATGCTTATTTTTTTGTTTGTTTCAAGTGTGCTTGTTATTACTCATTAAAGAATTTTATTCTGACTACTGACAAATCCTTGTCAGATAATTCCAATGGTTTTATCATTTAGTTGTTGATTGCCCTTTCTTATTTAAATTGAGATGTTCCTGGTTCTTAATATGATGGATGATTTTACACTGTTGTGCTGCGGGTCAATGAACTGGACTGCAAAGTCAGTTTGAATTGCAAGGTCAGTGGTTCAAGCTCACCGGCTGCTCTTCAGAACCTCTATACAAGGTTGCTATGGACTGGAACCGATTCAATGGCTCTTCACAACAACAAGTAGATGTTTGGGTTATTTCATGAGATTGGGTTTTATTTAAATCTTCTCTGAAACCACACCAGTCAAAACAGAGTCGCTACCTCATTGTTGCCAGTTGTAGGTAGAAGGCCAGGTTCCTCACTCAGACTCCATAGACATCCATTGTGGTGTGCCTCCTTGCTTCTGGACAGGATGGAAATACAGGTTTCTCATTGGACACCTGGATTTGGGAACCTTATGATAGCTGGTATAGGATGGAAGTCTAAACCTCCCACTTGTCCTTCACTGAAATAGATGGAGTTAAGACCAAAGCATGCCTTATGTTGTTTAGATAGAATAGCATGATTATTGTCTGAAAGTTTTGTGTCCTGGTAATCTAATTCTTTCCTGGTTCTTTAGAGTTGACTTTCCTTGTTGCCTTTTTATTTTTGTCTGAGCCTATTGGAGTTTCCAAGATAATAGCTCTCCTATACCCAGTTCAGCATGTATGAGACAAAACAAAAGAAAACAAAAACAAGCAAACAGGGAATTCACTTTTATGTCTTTCCTAGCTAATCTTCTTTCTTTCTACCTTTCAGAGTCTTAGGTTTGTCTTATATATAATGTCCAGGGAGTTTTCCTGTGTTGTGGCTGTTGTTGTTAGGTGCCATCAAGTCAGTACAGACCCATAGTGACCCTGTGTACAGCAGAATGCAATACTGCCAGACCTGGGCCAACCTCACGATTTTTGCCACGCTTGAACCCATCAAACCTCCAGCTTTGTCAATCCATCTCGCTGGGGGTCTTCTTCTTTTTCTCTGACCCTCCACTTTACCAAACATGATATTCTTCTCCAGAGACTGGTCCTTCCTGACAATATGTCCAAAGTATGAGAGACAAAGTTTGGCCATCCTGGCCTCCAAGGAGCACTTTGACTATACTTCTTCCAACACAGATCTGTTGGTTCCTTTGGCAGTCCATGGCGCCTTCAGTATTCTTCTCCAACACCATAACCCCAAATCATCAAATCTTCTATGGTCTTCCTTATTCACTGTCCAGCTTTTGTATTCATGTGAAGTTATTGAAAATATCATGGCTTGGGTCATGCATACCTTAGTCCTTAAGCTGACATCTTTGCTCTTCAACACTTTAAAAAGGTCTTGTGCAGCAGACTGAGTGTTGATGGTTGGTCCAGGAAGAACAAAGTACTTGACAACTTCAATCTTTTCTCGGTTGATAAGAATGTTGTTTGTTGGTCCAGTGGTGAGGATTTTTGTTTTCTTTACATTGAGATGCAATCCAATCCACAGCAACCTTGTATAGAGGTCCTGAAGAGACTGTGATCTTTGATCTTCATC